TTTTGAAAACTACTTGCTATCCTCCTTCTTATTTGATTTTTCTAAGGTATTCTAGGGTTTGAACTTGGGGGCCTTAATTTTGGCTGGCTTGCTTAAGTAATTTTGCTGTTACTATTCATGTGTTCTATAAAGAGCTACCTCCCCCCCCCCCCCCCCCCCCCCCCCCCGCCCCCCCCCCCCCCCCCCCCCGGTCATGGGGCACTGTTCCTGAGCTCTACCACTTGAGCCACAACACCATTCCAGTTTTCTGGTGGTTAATTAGAGATAAGAATCTCACAGACTTTCCTCCCTGGGTTGGCTTGGAACCAAGATCTTCTGATCTCAGCCTCCTGAGTAGCTAGAATTACAGGTGTGAATCACTGCACCCTCTTAGGGCTGCCATTTTCTAAGTCAGGTAATGAGTGCAATGAACATTTGTACATTTGAACAGCATCATCTCTAACTTTCTCCCAGTTTGCCCCTTCATCTCTACCCACTAAAATTTTTTTATATATAAATTGCCAAGGTGATGTACAGAGGAGTTACAGTTACGTAAAGTAGTGAGTACATTTCTTGTCTGACTTGTTACCCCACTCCCTCTCTCTCATTTGTAAGTTCCTTGGCATTTTCACCTCTTCAGTTCTCCCTTACTTTGTCCCTGCTATTTCTTGGAACTTAACTTTGATAGTGCTTTAGATGCCAGGGACAGATAGCTCACGCTATTATAGGATCATAGTTTCAAACCAGCCCAGTAGGAAAGTCTGTGAGACTCTACCTCCAATTAACCACAAAAAGCTAGAAGTAGAGCTGTGGCTCAAATAGTAGAGCACTACTAGATTCCTCCCCTTTGTATACCTGTGTTAAAAATACTCTGGGGACTAGGAATATGGCATAGTGGTAGAGTGCTTGCGTAGCATGCATGAAGTCCTGCCTTTGATTCCTCAGTTCCACATAAACAGGAAAGGCCAGAAGTGGCACTGTGGCTTAAGTGACAGAAAATGCTTTGGATGTTGGGGAATCGTGTTTACGAACTCTAAAGGAACAGTAAAGTTTACTTCTGCAGAAGAGTACTGCCATCAGCCAATAATCTGGCAGGCAAGCACACTGTAGGCAAGCTGTTTGCTTTTTAATCCCTAACCCAGCAGGCCCTTCCCTTCTATTTAGATTAGCTGAGCCTCAGGTTCACAATCTGGAAAAGGATGTGGTTCAGTTAACAGGATATAACTAAATTCAAGGAACTTCTAACAGGATGTCTTTCTTAAAGTATAGCAGGAAAAGGATATAACTAAAATGTAATCAACAAGGGCCAAGTCACCTTGCCAAAGCAAGACCTTTTCAGAAAAACAATTCTTACAAGATTGATAGAAAGGAAGCAGTCTGCTTCAATAGAAAAGATGCTTTTCTCATACCTCCTTTAATTAGTCTGTGAATATATAAGAACTGTAGAAGTTACTATGTTTAGTTGTATTTTAAATGGAGTTTCCACATATGAGAGTAAACAGTGTTTGTTTCTCTGAGCTTGGCTTATTTTTCTAGGTCCATCAAATGACTTTTCTGATGGATGAATAACAGTCCAGTGTGTTTGTACATCACATTTTCTTGATCTACTCATCTATTGTTGAACATCTGGGCTGTTTCCATAACTTGGCTACTGTGAATAGTACAGCAGTGAACATGGATGTGCAAGTGTCTTTACCCTATTCTGATTTGTAATATGCCCCAAGAGTGTTAGTGCTGGATCATAGGGTAGTTTTATGTTTTATTTTTTGAGGAGTCTTCAAACGCCTCAGAGTTGCAGACTTAACTTTTTGCTAGTTTTTTTTGGAAAACAGCATCTCATGGATTTATTTCTGCCTAGGCTGGATTTAAAAAGATTTTTAGGGTCTCAGCCTCCTGAGTAGCTAAGATTACATGCATGAACCATTGGTACCTGGTTTTATTTCACTTTTTTTCCCTTTTAGCAGCTATTAAACTAAATTAACATAGAAGATACACATAACTTAACAGTGACCAGTTTAATGAGTTGTGAGATTATATATGTGAATACCTATAAATCATTCCAACCAAAAAGAGAACATATTCGCCTTATTGTTTCCTGTACTGCTTTGTATATTCTACCCTCCCTAGGCAACTACTAAGCTTTCTGTTATTGTGGATGACTTTGCAGTTTGTGTAATTTTATTTAGATAATATCATTTGGTATATACTTTTGGTATACACTTTTTTTGGGGGGGGTCCAGTTGTGGAGTCTGAACTCTGGGCCTGGGCACTGTCCCTCAGCTCAAGGCTAGCGCTCTACCACTTGAGCCACAGGGCCATTTCCGGCTTTTTTCTTTTTGCTTATGTGGTACTGAGGAACCCAGGGCCTCATGCATGCAAGGCAAGCGCTCTATCACTGAGCCACCTTCCCAGCCCCTGGTATATACCTTTTCTTTCTTTTCTTTTTCCTTCCTTCCTTCCTTCCTTCCTTCCTTCCTTCCTTCCTTCCTTC